AGAAGTGGTCAATAAATGTTAGCAATATTATTACCGTAAGATTTTAGCATATATTGTAAGCTGGGGTCATTTCTTATATATCCTTATATAGCACCGTCAATAAATTCACTAACAAACATTAATTTGGCCTTCAAGGAAATAAAAATAAGCCAATGTATTTGGAGCAGAGTGAACAAAGAGGTGGTGGGGAGGGGAAAATTGGCATTAAATGAAGGTGATGAGAGGCCCTGTAAGACATGTTAAGGATTTTTAAATTTTATCCTAAGTGTTATAGGAAATCATTAAAAGGCTTTAAGCAGGAGAGTGATATGATGAGATCTGAGTTATAAATCCAGGGAAGAGACAGCACAGGAAGTGAGAAATCCAGTTCTCAAACTGTCCTGTAATGTCCCAGCAAAGAGATGGTGATTGTGCAAGAGTGGCAATGCTAATGCAAAGGGCATGATAGTGGCAATAATAAAAAGCAGAAGAAAGTGGGTTATTTTGGAACCCGAAGAAACAGAATTTCTGGTATGTTAGGGGATGAGAGAGTAGAACCATATGACAGAGACCTAGAAACGGCATACCCATAGTATATACATCTTTATTCGTGCACACAAACATACACACACTAAGCTTTGTAAACAAGTCTAAGTGCCTACCATTTCACAGGTACTACATACAGATAGAGGAGAAAAAGTTTAGAAGAAATGGCAGACAGGAGAGAGAGAACAAAGCAGAGAAAAGAGGGGGAAGAAAATAGAAATAAGAGAGGAAGAGAAGATGGTGGGTTGGTTTCAGTTGATGAGTGACCTTCTTGTTCAGAAAAGGCTGTTGATCCACAAACAGGTGGATTTGCCTATGCTTGGTTGGCATCATGACATTGAGGACACAGGAGCTAAATAAAGCCCATAAGAAAAGGGTGAATGTGAGAGCCAGGAGACTCTTACAACAGTTACTGTTTATGTCAAGACCCACTTGTCTCAAGGGACCCATTTTCACATAATCTATAATTATCTCTTCGCTTTAATCGCCTTGTCATTCCTGAGGCTCTCATGGGCACTGGAAAAGGAAAAGCTCATTAACTAAGCCTTTTCTCCTCTCTCCAGCCACCCATGGCTTTTAATTGCTTGGTGTGTTATTATCTAGGAGTGCAACTGGGATCATTTTCATAAGAAAGGGAGGTAGAGAGGAGGAAGGGAGCCATGAGTCCCTGAGGCATGCACCACAGACAAACCTTTGCTTTCTCAATTATTTATGCCAGCTGAGGTCTCACAGGCTGAATAAATCCATAACTCAAGTTCATTCTGAGCAGTCAGATTCTCGAGGGGGAGTTTCCCACTCGCCTATCCGCACTTGTGTAGTCCTCAAAGAATAACCAGAATGTAACAAGACACATGTCATCCAATTTATCACCTATCACCAAAGTGTTAACATAATGTTGATCATGAGCAACATAGTGAAATGGGGAAGAATTTCACTATTACCAGCCAAACAGATGAGAGGAAGCAGGATAATCTTTTTGGTGCTAAGGGGAGTGGTGTTAATGGGACAGTGGTATCCCAGGATGGCTTAACTTACTGAAAGCATAAAAATCCAAATATTCAATTTAAAAAAACCATACTACTGAAGACTCAGAATCTTACATAGATTTGTTAAGAACAGGAGGAAAAAAATACCCACAAAACAGACTGCTATGAGGCTCTGAATAAATAAATAGATGGAATTTTATACCATTTCACTTTATAAGTCACTTGTAATAAAACAATATTCATTGTAGCTCTTTCTCCAATCACACATCTTTCAGAAGAATTTTAGAGTATAATATTTGTGCAAGTGACAGGCTTTTAAACTACTTTCATTCCAGTTCATATTTTTACCAAAAATTACTAAATTAAAGCATAAAATAAAATTCATTCGTTTTTAATACTTATATCCTCCACTTTATAATCAGAACTAAAGAGCAGTCAATGAAAAGATATTTCTAAAATATTCTCAAAATCCAATATTGTTTAAAAATTTTAACTTTATAAGTCAATGATGAAAGAATCTCTTTAAAATTCTACAGGCTTTTGTGTCTGACCACAGCAGTGACCTCTGGTATTTTCTGCCAAAACAGTTCATTTGTCTCACAGAACAACTAATCAATTCCAGAGCCCATCAATCATTTTAGCTGTATACTGCTCTGGTCTTGCTTAGAGAAGGTCCAGATGGCTGCCTGTGTAAGTGGGATTAATAAAATTTTGATAGATTACATAGCATCAAACTACAAAATATAACAGGGAAGATCATATCTTACTGTGGGGGGAGTTGGATATATACATGCTTCATTTATTGTATTTTTAATTCCTGCCCTAATTCTCAATTTACGTGCCAACTTCGAGATAAAACCTTCTATGTATACAAGTCACCCAAGTGTTTTCTTATTAAGTCAGTATATACTATAGAGCCAAATGACTCTTTGCAAAGCCCTATGCTTATTAACCAGAGCTTTTTCTGCCAGTCTTCAGTATAAATGAAACAACTTATCTCAAGACTAGAGTAGCTGTCTGTGAATTACAAGATTTCTTACTCCCTTGCTTCTGTATTTCCAAATGCAGATCTAATGGCACTCGCTCTCCGTTCCCTCTTTTCCAATTTCTTCTGTAAAAGCAAACAACCTGTAGCATATTCTACAACCAGACTGACATGTGATTTTTAGCTCCTAACGTAAGTCCTATGTCCTGGGTCTTGACTGTGGGGACTCTGAGTAACAATACTATTAAAGCTAACAATGACAAAGTAACTTATTTTGTGCCAGATACTGTTCTAGGATGCCTGTGTATATGTATTCCTATAATCCACATAAGTACCAAATGAGAAAGGTACTGTAGTTACCCCCATTTTAAAGATAAGTAACTTGTTCAAGGTCACAGAGCTAACAAGTGGTAGAACCAACATCTGAATGCTAGCAGTTTGGCTCCATAATTTTTTGTACTTCATTAACCTCACACTATATCCCCTCCGTTATACTACAGAACCATTAACTAGGTTCACAAGGAGAAACTGGTGTCAGGGCTCTGGAATATTAACACAGGGAGCTGTACCTATGACATTATATTGTCACTTTCTGTGACAGAATGGAAATAAAGGTCAAAACCAAACAGGCAGGGAGCAAGCTCAGAATTGGCCCCAGTGGTCCGTGGCTCAAAAACATTTACAATAAAACTAAAGTGGGCCCTTAAATTATCAGCTACAGTGCACATTAGTCAGGAAAGCTGCCAAGACAATGGAGCCCAAGCCTTATGAAATGGGTTTATTAGAAACTGGTTCTCCTGATCTTTAAAAAAAGGTGAAAAAAGCCCTGGCCAGTGTGGTTCAGTAGTTAAAGCGTAGCCCGCATACAGAAGGGTTATATCCTCAAGTGAGAATTAACCTCCCCCCCAAAATAAAATAAAATTGTAAAAAAAATAGGTCAATATATTAAAGTATTCAAAACAGACACTAAAAATACATTTTTAGTGTTCTTTTTGAAAACAATGGCCTGTAGAGGAAAACTTTTCCTTTTATTCAAGTTTACCATTTGATGTTTCTGAAACTCTAGAACCTACTGTCACTTTCAACTTGGTTGAACATAACTCTGCCAAGAAACTGCAATTAACTTCGGTTAAAGCAGAACTTTCTCTTGGAAAAATAAAACACCAGCTACTATATTTCACCAAAATATAAGCAATATTTGATTACATAAATGTCAACAAATAGCCTGTTTTCAATGTTGCAACTACAGCCTTATACTTAAGAAACAGTAAGGACTACAGCTTCACGGGAGCAATCCAACATTTCAGTATGGAATAATTTTTATTGTGATCTAGTTTGCTATGCTGGAATTCTGTTCAATTATAAAATGGATTCTCTAATATAAGAAAATTAGTAGTTGCTGTAATTCCTGATCTGATATAGTAGTAATAAAATTACTGTTTGTAATAGTTAAAAGACTTTCAGAGGCTCTCATATTCATATTTCTTACTGTTTCATACCTTAACAATGTGCTGGAACACAAAGACTTAGATCATATCATAAGAAGACTAATATTTTGATGACTTAATGAAATAAGGCCAAGTCTAACCAGTTTGGGCATAGCAGAGGTTCATATTTCATTCCATTAACCAATAATGTTTATTAAACATGCATGTAGATGTCAAAAATACAGAGAATATACTATTAAAAGGTGAAGAAGAGAAGCACAAATATCCACAATATTTTATCTCAGATTCACAATAAGTGTGTGAGTTGAATTAAAATCTCTACTTTATAAAAATAAGTGATATTATTTTGTTATGTTTCTTACAAATTCTAAATATTGATTTAAATCTAAGAGTCACTTCTTTAGGAACTGGATGGAGGATAAACAGGTAGGTTAACCCTTGCAATGCAGTTTAACTCTATCTTAGGAATATTCCAACTATCCAGATATCTAGTCTCACTTCAACCTGGAATACAAGTGATCTGCTTTCTGTTCTGTAGAGTTACTATAATCAATCAGGTCACTAGACATTCCAAAAGAAACTGTTCAACATGTCATTTTGAAAAATATTAGAGCCTGGGAGCCCTTAAAGAAATTGGCACACAAAATAAGGATCATTATTACTTATAGAAAAGTAATTGATATTATTAGAAAGTATGTACAGTGATTTTTAAAAAGCAAAGTCAAGAAACTATCTCAATTTATTTACCTAACTAGGAAAGTAAAATAGCCTATACATTTTCTTAAGTGCTTAGGAAAAGAGGTGAGGATGGGTATATCACAGGAAAACCAAATGAGCACTCTCTGTTTTATGGTAGGTCCACCTTAAAAATTCTTTCCTGCCATTTATTATCCTACTAGAAATACCAAGTCAGTTAAGAAAAAGTTTTTCACAAATGAAAGTTTTCAGGATTAAGAATATACAGATACACACATACAAACGTACATATACACTATATATACACACACATAAGATAGACAGATATCCCTATCATCAAAGACCAGAAGAAAAAGTTACCTGATGATTTCTTCATGATACAGAGAACTAACAACTGGTCCGCCAAAACCAGTATTCGCTTCTTTTCCTTTCTTCTCTGGTGACTGTGGGAGGGAAAGAAGGTAGAAAAAAGACACATGGATTAAAGCAGTGTGTATTTAAATCAGTTGCAAAATACTACTTTGCTAAGGAATACTAAAAGTCTGACCACCCACCATTTCTCCAAGGTACTAGCAACAGTTTCAAGATGGTATCAGAAAGGCAAGTGGACTCTCAGGTCATCACAACAGTGGAAGGAGTACCCACCAACAAGCTAAGCTCATTCCACGGACCACCAGGCTCTTTTGGATCTGCCCTCCCTTCACTTGAAAATTGCTTCCAGGCAATAAGCTGAGGCAACTGTAGAGCTCCTTTGTTTCCTTCCCTTCTCTCCTAATTTTAAACTACTTTTAGCGCCATTTCTGAAAACTATTGTTTCATCTATTGTGTCTAGTTTTCTTCTTGTTTTCAGCAAAAGGGTAAATCTCATCCCTATTACTCCAAGCCCAGGAGCAGAAGTCCCACAAACATAAATTTAAAAAACAGCTTAACATTCCATGCAGTAATGTGTAACTTACTTAACCATGATCTGACAGTTGTCTATGTAGGTTATTTTCACTTTTCCACTCCTAAAGATATGATGAATAACTTTGTACATACAGCATAATACAGTTGTAATTAAAATCTTTAGGGGAAAATATGACTCCATAATTTGATTATAGGGTATTCTAAATATATTTCTTCTTCCTGGGATTAATTCCTCATTCTGAAGCAACAGCACAAAGCATGTTAGAATGCTGCTGACAACTCTTTTTTTCCCTGGGGGGGTAGGGAGAAGGGAAAGATTATATCTTAAGCAGAAATATTATTTCAAAAATAATCTGCCATTATCAGATTGAATTCAGAATAAAGCTGCCAAAGATGCATTAGTTTTCATCTCCATCCACTTCATCTAAAAGAAGGGGTAAACTTTGGCTACTCTAGCCTCCCTCTAGATTTCCACTCCAATGAAATGTTTCTCAGAGAGGCTTAAGAAGTTTTTTCCATTTCTCTCTACTCAAAATCCATTAAGTTATTTTTACGTTGCATCAGCAGTTAAAGAAAGAGACTCCAGTTTGGCAGCCAATAGGATAAAATTTGCCAATTTTTACATTGCCTCAGCCTATATTATTTGAGACACTGAAATGTTCCTTCACTCAGTGGGGAAAGGATAAGTTGTTGGCTGAATCTTTACCATTTGGATTCAGATTCCACATTAGTCAGTTGCAGGGTCAAGGCTTAAAACCTTGTGAAACTTTCTTTTCCATCTGAAATATAACTATTCCAAATGTTATCAGGCTAATATATGCAAGGAGGGGGTTTCTTGCTTCTACGTGTTAGCTTTTTGGCTTTTGTTTTATTGGTTTGTTTGCTTAATTTGTTTATAGGTCTAGCTGTACGACTTTGGGTAAATTAATCTCTCTGCTTCAAATTCCTCATTTGTAAAAATAGGAATAGTAGCTATCTCATATAAGTGTTTAAAGTATTTTAAATATATATATAAAATAGAACAGCACTCAGCACAAAGTGGACACTATATAAGTGTTCAGCAATTTTTCCAAAATATTGCCATTTCTCCAACGAGAAAGTGTCTCAGCAAGACAGATACAAAATGTTTTGAGGTGGAAACTTACAATATTGAACCATAAGTCTTTATCTAATATTGTCCTGATAAAACCAACCCCCAAACCAACCAAAAAAACCCTAACAAAATAACTCTGTCATTAAGAAGAAAAGGAAAGCAAACTAGACTTAATGAGTATCTTCCATATGCTTCATACTTTACATATATTTTCCAATTCCAACTTCAAAACAATTCTATAAAGTTGGCATTTTTACTGTATTTCATTTAATTAAGACATCAAATTATAAAAAACACCATTATTTTATGTAATGCCAAGAAAAATATAGTCAGTTAAATATAATACATACATCATCAATTTTAAGACACATCCAGAACATTTTAAATGTTAAAAATGGAGACTGTCTGCCTTACATTTGACAAACTACATCTCCATTTTACAGATAGTAAGTTGAAGAAAAGAAAGGTGAAGTACCCAATACCACAGAGTAAGTGGGAGAAATGAGATCTTAGGATACCTAAAGATTGTGCTCTTTTTATTAAATTATGCTACCTCTCTAAGCTACTTTAGGAACCATTATTACATATTTACAATATTCTGAATTAAAATTTTGTTGTTTCTTAGGTGTATATTTAAAAAAAATTTAAGTAAAGCACTTCTTTAGTTCAAAAGAAAACTTTAAAATTAAACATATAATACTTCAATTTTTTTAGGCTGACTTATTATGATAAATTATACTCGAGTTAATCAATAGACTAATATTATAGTTCTAAGCACTTTTAAAAGAAAATTTTTCTAATAATCCTTTAAAAATATTCATTGTAGTTTTTTCCTGAAATATGAAGTTATTCATTTCCACATATAAAAGTATATTAATCTCACCTCAATTATTATCTCTTGTTAAGAGCATTAAAAAAAATCTTGACCATGAAAATATTGTTGGCTGCTATTTATAATAGTAATAACACTTATACAATTTCTCAAAAAATGTCAACTCTATAAATCTATGGTTTTTAACCTTCATTTATCTTAAAATTACAAATGTACAGCATAGTTAAAAAAACAATCATTCCCTAAAACCTTAACAATGAACATTTAATAAAGATATCAATTATCTAGAAATACTACATAAATCTCTAAATTACTATTGGAAAATAATTTTTAGATAAAAGAAGAAAAAACATGTGCAAGTAGGTATTTTATCCAAACCTTCAAATTTCAAAATTTCTGATTTTTTGCATATAAACTATAGTAGCTTAAAAAGTGATGCAAATTTTAAAAGATAAAGAACTGAACTCCCTGTCCCCTCTTTTTCTTTTAGCAAACAGTTTAATCTGCATCACTAAAATATATGAGATAATTTTCCAGATAATATGGTCAACAGAAATCCTATAGAACTCTTATAATCCACCAAGTAAATTTCATTACTCTGTAAAACAAAATAAAAAATAGTAATTGCTTTTTTACCACTCTATAATGAAATTTAAGAATAAATATATTAATTTTATCTTAATATCCTGGTTGTTAACAATTATCTTGGTTCTGGGGTACTTTAAACTTGGTTTTAGAGTATTTTAAAACTAAGGTACAAAAGATTATCACTTGCACACAGGCCCAGCTTCTTTATGAAGTATTTTTACTCAGTTTAACACTATTTGTAAATGGCTCTCCTGGAAAATTACCTTCAGGTTATTATGACTAACTTTCTAGAAATATAACAATGACCAAGATTTATATGTTTCCTGGAAAATTATTCTGAATGTAGCATTTATCATATCTATTCAGAAATTATAACTTTTCTTAGATTTTTAAGCACTAAAGGAAATCATAAAAGACTAACGGATGCAAATATTTCAAGTGGTATTTCTGTAATAACGTAGTAAAAATAAATAAGGAACTGTATTTTAGGCAAATACAACAAATGGCTAATATATTTATAATATTATAAGCAATATATCCAAATTATCTCATATGTAAGAAAAACATTAGGACCCAATGGATAAACAAACCATGAGCAAACAATTAAATATATGAAGTTATACAGAAGTTTAAAAATTTAGCAACTTTCATTATTTTCACCATTAATACAGGTTCTGAATATTATAAGAAAAAAATACAATCCTGAACTATAGTAACTCTGTATAGGCTTCAACCACAATCCCTTCTGTTGCTCATCTCTACATATTAATGTTCTTGAATTTTTATGACAGAAACGTGGCTCAGGATAGCTTTGGGAGTCTATGCCTCCCTTTTCTGTTGTTTTCATGAAGCATTTAAAAATCTGGCACCAGGAGTACTTTCAAATTGCTTGGCTCCGGTCCTCGCTGTCACTCTTATCTGGTTCTTCTTTTTCCTTTATTTTTATTAGCCTTTTCCTGCTTGGTTTTGATTCAATTCCCAGCAGATTCCTCTGTGTGAGACTCTGTTCTGAAGGGAGCTTTGGCTGGGTAATTTTGGAAGCTCTACAGCTCAGATCTAGAGAACCTTACCATGAACCCCTCTAAACTTTACCTATTGGCAATGTTAGGATTCTGCCATTCTCAGGTCAGTCATACTCCCTCGTGTTCTCTCCTACGGAGATGCCAATGCTACACAAATCTTGTACTGTTGATGGTTTGTCCCTATTTCCTTTGGTCAGCTAGTTTTGTTACAGATATTGCCTAAGAGGCTTGGGTTATGCTCTCCTGGTTATTCTGTTAAGGAAGCATTTGGGAATAATAAAAACTATACTACAACTACTGTCATCTTCCCAGAATTCCAATAACCATGAGTGATTCTGATGAAATGCATAAATGGGAATACCCAAAGGAATAGATTAATATTGCTAAACTAGGTGTGTTTCCATTCCATACCTTTTTCCATGACATTTGCCTCCATTCAACCAACTATCTTAACAGGATGGACGATATCATGAAAGAGGTACAGAGATTGATAAAGGAAGACAAGTTTAGTGGACATCCTATTTGTGGCTTATCAAAGTCTCTAGAACACTATCTCAACATTTTAATAGCCTTCCATATTTTGCGTTCCAACTTTCCAAAAGAGAATCCTCAAGGCCTTATTTCTCAGAATCCCTTGCAGCCAGAATATGACCTAAAGTCCATCAATCAGATGCACAAACAAGCCACTTGGATATATCACTGACCTATACAGCAAATCACACTTCTTGACTCCCAGCTCAAAATTTGGTTAAAATAATCTCACCAACAAAAGTACTGTTTGATATACAGCTGACTCTTGAACAAAGTTTGAACTGTGCGGGTTTGTGTATATAAGGATTTTTTCAATAAATACTATAAATGTATTTTCTCATGACTGTCTGAATAACATTCTTTTCTCTAGCTTACTTTATTGTGAGAATACAGTATTAACACATATAATATACAAAATATGCGTTAATCAGCTGTTTGTTATCAGTAAACTTCCAATCAACACTAGGTTAT